ACCTTATTCTCTGAGGTTGCCATATATCCTGGGGGAATGTCTATGTAAATTTCCTCTTTAAGATCACCATGGAGAAAAGCATTTTTCACATCAAATTGGTGTAAAGGCCAATCAAGATTCGTTGCTAAAGATAGTAGAACTCTAACAGTGTTTAACTTAGCCACCGGTGAGAAAGTCTCTTGATAGTCTATACCATATGTCTGTGTATAGCCTTTCGCCACCAATCTCGCTTTGTATCGCTCAACTGATCCATCAGCTTTGTACTTGATGGAGAACACCCATTTGCATCCCACTATCTTTTGTCCTTCAGGTAACGGCATGAGAACCCATGTCTCATTTTTCAGCAATGTTTCCATCTCTTCTTTCATAGCTTGTATCCACCTAGGATTTTTCAGAGCTTCATCAACACTAGCTGGAATATGACATGAAGAGAGCTCATTTGCAAAGTTTTTGAGAGGTTCAGAAAGCCTCTCCGTAGATACATAATTAGCAATTGGATATTTTGACCTTTGATCCTTGATTTCAGGAGAATATCTGTTTGGTGGTTTGCCACGATTGTGCCTGAAAGGTAATTCATAGCCAACAGAAGTATCTATATTGTTAGGAATGAAAGGTGTGGTTGGTGTGCTTACCTCAGTTATATTCTCAGGAGATGGGTCGTTAGATACCGAAGAGTGGGGGGATGTCGGTTCAGCAGTAGGTTCCTCGATGAATGATGGTCCTATATTATCCTCAGTAGGAGATGAAGTCGGAGATGCTATTGGTTCAGTATTAGGTTCCTCGATAACTGATGGTCCTGTATTTGCTTCTGGCCAGTTAAATCTCAGCCAATTCAGCTCTTCACCACTCACCTCCCCCTGAAGAGGAGAATTGGATGTTCCAGGAGAGTACAAAATCTCAGATTCAAGAAATGTGACATCCATTGTCACATAAGTGCGCCGGGTAGTGGATCATAGCACCAATATCCTTTTTGATGTACAGCATATCCTAAGAAAAGGCAACGAATGGCACAAGGATCCAATTTCGTGCGTTGGTTCTTGTAGAGGTGAACAAAAACAACACACCCAAAGATTTTAGGTGGAAGCGTCAATATTGTGGGCAGTGAGACAAATGTCGACAAGGTATGTAGTGGAGTCTGAAAATCAAGAACCTTCGTAGGCATCCGATTGATAAGGTGGACAGCTGTGGTAACTGCATCAGCCCAATAGGTGCTAGGTACATGAGCGCTCAATAAAAGAGCACGAGTAGTTTCTAGAATGTGACGATTTTTCCGTTCAGCTATACCATTTTGTTGAGGCGTTTGAGGGCATGATGTCTCATGGATCATACCATTTTGTTGAAAATAATCTCGGAACTGATGATTCGAATATTCTCCACCATTATCTGACCTCAAAATCCGAATTTTAGCGGAGAATTGAGTTCGAACCATGTTATGAAATAATTTAAAAACATGGAAAACTTCATCTTTGGTTTTCACCAAGTAGAGCCAAGTCATTCGAGTGCAATCATCCACAAATATCACAAACCAACGGAAACCAGATGTAGAAGATTTTGGGGAAGGGCCCCACACATCAGAGTGAATTAAAGTGAGAGGAGCTACACTTTTATTTGTACTTAATGGATAAGTAGCTCGATGACTCTTAGCTAAAATACAAGCCTCACATGTAAAGTTTGAAACTGACAAGTCTGAAAATAAATCAGGTAGCAAATGTTTCAAATATGCAAATGAAGGATGGCCTAACCGACGATGCTAAAGCCAAATCTGTTGTGCTTTTAGATCACTCGGATGGTGCATGTTATGTGCTCGACCCATGCCAAAGTCGTCCATGTAGTAAAGTCCCCCCCTCTTAGTACCACGTCCAATGATCACCTTGGTGAGATATCCTGAAGAAAACAAAAAGTAGGGTAAATAAGTACCACACAATTTAAATCCATGGTAATTTGACTTATAGATAGTAATTTGTGAGAAAGAGAGGGCACAAGTAAAGTATTGGATAATGATAAGGTTGGCGACAATAAAACAGTGCCAGCCCCATTGACTGAAGAAATAACCCCATTGGCATTGGCAATACTAGTGCGTCGTGGAGGGGAACACTGAGAGAAATCATTCGCATCAAATGTCATATGATCTGTGGCTCCAGAATCAAGTATCCAAGTGTTGCGGTCACCATCTCTATAAGAACTGAAGAGAGCAATACCTGAACCTTCATCAGTTCTAGTTCCGTCAATCTTGTCGCTGATCCCTTCAGCAACAAAGTCTGTGGTCGGGGTCGGGACTGAGGATTTGGTCAAGACCTCAGTCATTTTCATGGTTAACTCTTCCAGACTGGAAGAGGTAGGTGGGTCTGTGTCTGTGTCGGCCATGGAGAATAGTTGGTCTTTCATTTCTGGGTTTACAGTCAACCAATTCAGCTGCTGTCAAATTTAAACCCCCACAGGGAATGCGTTTTAAAAGTGTATCTTGAGTCAATTCCCAACCTTTTTGTGCATAAAAGAATATATATATAGCAGTCAGCTTCCTTGTTTGATTCCAAAAAGAATTCAATCCTTCATTCAATTAGCTTCCTGCATATTCTGTTCAACCTTTGGAATCCAATTTTATTAATTGAAGAAATCAACCTGCTTTGGTTTTCTCTTCTAATCTGCCCAAACTCCAAGGGCAGCCTCAATTCTTGACTTTTTTCTTAAATCCCAGGCAGCCCCTTTATTCTCCTCCTTTCCCCAACTGCCTTGTGTATGTGTGTATATATATATTATGACAGCCGTTGGCAGCTTCTGTCTCCTCTTGATTTTCTGTGCGTATTGGAGCCGGCTAGGAGAAATTGGAAATTCAGCCGGTGCTGATACAGATTGGTCTAGTGATCGGATTCCCGTGGCTCTGATACCATGATAGTTTAGGGAATATATTTTCTGCAATTCTTCTATTTTCAATAACCATCGATTTTTCAATCTCTTGTCAGCGTTCCTCAACGCTATCCTTTGTTCAATATTCACCAGTTTGGTACTAAACCTCGTAAATGCCCGTTTTGGTGTTGTATCTGATGTCCATTCGGGAGTGTCTCTCTGTCCTAGATAAATTTCATCTGTGGAATGCCGGGATAGTACTTCTATTAGAGAAATGCCAAGAAGTGTTTGGAACTGGGCTGTAATTGTTTTCAGGAGGGCCAGTTCGGGGTCTGACTCGAGCTCGGCATACTCGGGAGTGCCCTGTTCAGGCAATAATCGACGGCTGATAGTTGGTCGATTTAGAAGGTAGCCAGCATAAGAATATTGTCCAAAATTGACTGCAGCATGAAGAGCGGAGGCCACCCAAATGATGATTGTGCATGTCTCAATGAGATCATCTCTTGTCTGCATGTTAGGCCACCACGGTTTATCTTTCAAGTCACCATGGCCTTCTTCACGAAGCTCCTTCCACCAGGATTGGAGTTCAGAATCGCCTTGAACGATGTCATCTGAGCGGTAATAGAATAAGCAATACTCTTCAACCCAATCTTTAATAGCCGACCAAATTTCAAGCCCATCGACTGCATAAGGATAATCTTCTATTAGGAGTTTGAGGCCGTTGGGTTGGCTTGGATCAGGAACTGCCACTCCTCTGCATTGGATCAGAAGTTAATATCCAGAAATATCAACATAAATGTGTCCTCTATAATGACTTAAGCTTTTAGATGGGATAGTTCAACAATAAACTGATTTTAAAGCATTTGGCTGACCTTTTGAGAAGATCTGCAGGGAGTGCCTGCTCAGTGAAGTTCCAGTTCTTATAGATGACAGAAGTCATTTCCATCGAATATTTTCTTGGGTAGACTGTGCTCTCGAGTATCCCACGTGCACTTATGAGGATCTGTCGAGCCAAAGCATTTATGTACATCGTATCACGGAAATGAGGGTGCAGAAGCTTGTATATTGGATGAAGCACGCTCAATTGTCTGTTCGTTGCAATTATAAATGGCTCTATCACTGCATGGGTGTTCAACCTGCAGTCGGAAATGAGGTAGTTATTAACATATGAGCAGAACTTCTACCATTACCATTAATTCGACTTCTTTCTTTTGTAAGTGTACCAATGGCTAATCAGATGATGATATCCCGAATCATTTACAGCAGCATAAGCTTTAGCCAGCTGCCAAATTGAACCTTCGATTCCATGCTCAGCGGGAGTAATTACTCGACTAATGGCACTATTTTCTTTATTCTGGAAATTCGGTAAGCTCAATTCAATTGCCAGCGGCTTCAATGTCCCATCATCTTGTAGTAAAAGGAGAGTTCGACTAGCATATGTCCTTGTGTTTGTGTCCTTGTTTATCCGTTCTAGGTATGGAATAAGTGCATCATGGTGATCCAGTATGAACAGCTTATTCTGCTCAATTGCCTATGCTTGCATATAACAAGTAAAGAGGTCAATAACTTGCCGTAATTCTTAATTTAATGTGAACATGTCATGATTTTGAAGAAAACCGTAATTCTGAGAGAGAATATAGATAGGTACCTCAGATATTGTAAGCCCATTCATGTTCGTCTCGATGTGCTCCCTTGTGAATGAACTGTTTTGGTTGCCATATTTTTCAGGGTCTAGCTTACTAGTTGGGGGAAACTCCTGTTACAAAATAATGAACATTTTGCATCAGAAAACTTAAATATTTGATAGATAAATCGGGAAAACTAAAGTTTTTTCACCTCTAGGCGTCGAATAACAACAGGATTCAATCCGGCTAGCATTTCTCGTCCAAACTCTATGTCTGTTCTCCATGCAGTCTTATCCTCTGGAAATTATTACATTTAACTTAATAATGCATCGATCATCTAATTATAAAATATGTAATCTATGGAAAAACATGTTACCTTTGATAACATCAGGCACCGGGAATTTTAGGAATCTCTCACCATCTGAACGAAGAAGTTCTCTGAAAAACTCCCACGGGACGCATTTTCTAAGTTCAGTAAGATTGTGGCCGTCAGGTAGCTTAACCCCACCTTCATACAGGTTAAGTACATCTTGGAATGTATCGAACTCGTCCAATGTTTTGTCAAATATGGATTTTATCTCTGGAACCAATACCTGACCTACAGATTTAATAGCATAAGCTAAGAAATCTGAGAACTTCACTTGGTTGAACTTCTCATCTCGTGGAACATAAATGTTCAAACTTAGGAGAGGCAATCGGCTTTCTGACTTACTATCTGTAAATTCAATAGCAGAAATAGGTTAAGTAGAAATAGTTTTTCCAGTGAAATGCCTAATATGATACCTCAATTTTTATTGATTTAGAATATAGAAGATTGTTTTTCTTGACCATCTTTATTTGGTGGACGACCAGTTCTTCCTCTACGTGGGTACGGGTAGTCCTCTGATCCACCAAGCACAGGGCGTGCATGGTCTGATCCCTTTTCAGGACTTCCCAGGTCATTGTAGAGTGCATAGTCATATACTCTGTCCCATTCTTTAAGCATGCCCGACCGGTCACCACGAAGATTGATGAGCTCTTCTTCCCTATACAGGCGCAGTGGTTCTGGTGTATCACATGGCAGGTATGTCTGATGATACAATAATAAGATTATCAGAGCCTTTGATATTTGTCTAGTTAATCTCACATCGAACAGTAGATTGATTTTCTAATTAATTAATTGAGGGTTAACTTAATTACTCTGTTATAAGTTGCAATAATGGAACAACATCATAATCAGCAAGAAGCTCGACATTATAGAATAAACAGTCGGATAAGATTATGACACAGGAGATCCAAATCTGATAAATTTACTTTCAATTATCGAGACTTTGGGGGTGCTCTCAAGATACTGGACAAGTGCTTTTTGCTGTCATAATCCATGAAGTTTTAGCATTTGAATTTTCTTTAACTTCTTTTCTATTGAAGTTTTGTTAATTTTTCAGCCAATACTAGACGTACCTTGTTTGCGAAGAAGACACGATCGTACTTGTAACGACGAGCAGGATAAACCCAAGAATTGCAGACAAAATGAAGCTGGCCTTGTCCAGGAACATCTTCTAAGGTGACTGTCTTGATGTAAATCTGACTATGGTGACGATTTCTGATAATAAAAGCACCAGGAACTCCTATAGACTCATGCCAGTGGAATGTAACGTCAAATGTGACCTCATCCTCGGCCGTCAGTGATCTAAGATTCGGGATCCAATTTTCCAAGAATGCTGGTTTTCCCAGTTTCCCTTTTGATCCATTTGCTGTATTATGGAACCCATAAATTTGATAAGGCAAAAGATTAAGTGCTGTAGTCATATTCAATAGTTCATACTTCATATGAATGTTCTTAATTTATGATCACTTTCTGTGCGTTATTTTAGAATAGTTTCTTAGCAAGTTTATCACAAAAAGTCTCCAAGATTAACATTCCTTTATTATTCATCAGGAAAACTTGAAGAAAATTCCCGGGACGGAAGGGGGAAATAAGAAGAGGAGTTACCAGAGTCACCATGAACAGCACTGATGAGCTGCAGTGAAACACCTTTGTGAAAGAGCGTGTAAATTCGATCAAGAAACGAAGCCCAGAAATCAGTTGAGTCCATAAAACTCTTTTTCATCAATACTACTCTGCCTTTGATCTTCTTTCCATTATCGATATTTTTGGGCTCGTCTGGATTCTTTCCACACACCGTTTCTAGTAATTCCCCAATCATCTTAGTTCACGAACACTCTGGAGAAATCCCCACTGGAACAAGAAAATTACGTAAGAACGAATGTTCAAGTACGTAAAAATAAAAAAAGAAATGGAATAACATGATATACTTCACCTGGTCCTATCTGTAATGCTATCTTGATTCTTGACTTAGTTTACACTCACAATTCTACTCATAAGCAGAATTTAGTTGTTAGATCAAATTGATGTCTGCCTTATATTGAGGAATGAATTGTGTTTCACAAGGAAATTTCAAGTTGACTGATCTTAATGGAGGAAAAAGTTGGTGGAAGGAATTGATTCCACCCGAGTGCTCCAAGCCTCCAATCTAGTTCGGTAAATGGGGAGTTTTGGATTGCGTAGGTATTTGCATTAAGTTCTGTGCCCACTGACATGTTTCTCCTCGTAAATTGAAGTAAATACATATCTATTTTTTTTTTTTTGATAACCCAGGTGTCCCAGCTTAGCCGGACTAAATCCTGGACCTCTAGCCCCCGGCCCCTCAGTGACTAGTGGAGGTAAATCGCAGGTTGTACCCTTGTTGGTTCCCAGGTTTCCACATGGCTTTTACTCCTTCCCCAAAGGGACCCTCCTCCATGGTTATTACATCACCAAGCTGCTCCAACCCTTCCTCTGGTTATTACATCACTTGGCTGCTCCAACCAGGAATCGAACTCCCCACACTTGGTTCCAGAGCCCCCCAATGTGATTGTTCCGCCAATCTACCTAGTTTGGCATGTTGTGTATGTGTTTCTTTTTACTTCTTTTAAGAAAAATGAAAATTGAGACGATGTTTGACGAATTTTGCCTCATATACAGGGCACTCGCATGCTCTTGCATTGGGTTGAGGGTGGGTGATTATTAAAAAAAAAAAAAAAAAAAAAATCTCTCACCCCCCCATGGATTGTGAATATTTTGTACAAGTTCACTAGACCTGTACAATAAGCAGAACTCATGTTTAACTCATGGAATTGATCTCCTATCCATTATTGATGTGGCAACATGTAATATAGTCACATCGATGGGTGGACAGTATAATTCCTACCCACGGTGGGCAAAAGATTAATTATGGTTTGACTTATATTATAAATAATTAAATTACTTTTCATCCACATATTTCGAGAAACTTTCAAGTATTTTTCACTTATTTATAACTCATTTATATCTATTTATAAACAAAATTACTTCTTAGCACTTTCCAAACATGATTTAAGATAACTTATTTCCTGTCATCAAGATTATTGGACATCGTGATGTAGTGAGAAGTGTGAAACGATCAAATAATGCGATTGAATCCGTTATCGCCTAAAAATGTCGAGAGTCGACAATAAAAATAATTTATTTACAGAGAATGCTGATTACCGAATCAAAAGAACTAAAAGTCTTCTAATTTTCTTTAGCAATGACTATAATCTTCGAAAAGTTGTGGAAAAGTATGAACATGAGAAAAATAAAGATGTGACGTATGTTTTGTCACACTAAACAAATAAATACACGGTTATGCATTAATAAGTAGTGGGACCACTTATAATGGATAAAAATTGACATAAAAATGATATAAAAATGTTAAATATATCGATATAATACAAATATGAAATTAATATCTGTCACAAAAAAAAAAAAAATACATGATACTGACTCATACATGGATATAATACAAATTGGAACTAAAATGTTTGATAATTACTAATTAATCCACCAACTCATGTGATTATAACACAAAATAATAAATAATAAAGTCATTAAATATAATAATACTGAAGAAAGATTTCAAATTTATTTTCTAGGAAAAAGTAAGTTCAAAAATAAAATAAAAATCAAGAACTCGTAATGTGGACCCTATTGAGTGGACATTGGCAGCCAGATGATAAGAATAAAAAAATGTTGTTTTACCCTTGCCAACGATTTCTCGGTTGAGTCTGTCGCCTAGTGCAGTTTACATGATTGGCGTAATTTGCAGGCTATTACATCAGACCAAGGGTTTAACCAGTGCGCACTCGAAGGGTAACGACTACAGGTTCCCTCGTCATCCAAAAAAAAAAAAAAATGCTCTTTTATTCTTAAATGTCTTTATTATAAATTATTCCGTTACCTTTTGATGGACCGTTTACTCTTAAAAGTGAGTCTTTATACGATTAATTGTACGATGTTGTCTTATTCAACATAAACACTACCTTAGGGATGCAGGTAACACGTTATATTTAATGAAAATAGAATTGCCTGAAGTCTTCTTATTATCATAGTCAATTTGGTGGGGCCAATCATGTATCTTGAATTGATGAGTATTTTATAAAAATAATATTTTACACTAATTATGATTAGATTTTTAGATAATTATAAAATAGAATTACATGAAGTCTTTGTTCATCATCTTCAATTTAACACACAGTCATGTATCTCCAATTGACCAATATTTTATGAGAAAAATATATATATGAATTAATCATGTACATGTAGAAAGAGGAGGATTAAATAAGTTATTAACATCGCGACTTTTAAGGTTTGAAATGTATGATACATTGACAACTTAAAAAATCTAACTAGAGTAAATTATCTTAACTCTAAAAAAATATCGACACATTTAACAATTGACAAATTTTGCAATATATATTTCTTTCATAATTCAGTAGTTTCTTGTCTAATATGATACAGAGTAACAAACATTACGTCCCACACACACAAAAGAAAAGTAAAGGGAGATAGAATAAAGTTCAAGTTCTAAAGTTTTGGTAGAAAAGGGTTCTCTGTTTTTATTCTTCACTTTGGTGTCACAAACTTATATGGTTTGTTTTTTTATTTAAGTAATAATTTTTTTATTAAAAAAAAAAGTGCTTTAAAAGTTGAACCAAAGTGCAACGGGTAGTGAAAATTTTTGAAGTACAAATATATTTAAAAAGCAAAATTTTGAAGTGACCCAACTCCAATAGGTTCATGATATGTTCTCTTGGTTTTTAGTCTTTCAAGTTTTTAATGCAATTGAACCAAATCGGTTCACAGTTATTTTGGCCGATTAGGTTCGATTTACCAACGTTAAAACGCTAAATATATCGGTTCACAGTAGATTTTGTTCGATGAAATTTCATCTACATATCATTTCAGGATGATCGGACAACTCAAGCCATTATCAGTTCACATCTTTGGATTGGCAAATCTGTCAACTAACTTGGGTTAGTTGTCAACTAAATAATTAAAGCTTAATGAACCTGTCCATGTTAACTGTTTGAAATAATGTCCAATGTAGGGCCACAAAGTTACTAGACTTGATTTACAACCGTTCATTTTTATTTTAAATATTTTAAAATAATTAATTTTATTTAATTTGATGGGTCTAAATCAAGCAACTTGGTGTGTTTCTATATTTTATCTATTGTTAATATTCAACTAATCTCGATAAATTTGGACTTACAAATTCTACATGGATAAAGGACGTAAAAGTATTCTCACGTTCAATTTTGTGAAGTTAGGTTTCGTTTCTTAACTTTAGCTCGTATCCAAAAATATAACGAGGGTTGCATGACAATTTAAGGAAGATAACTAAATTTTGTTTTAGAAACTAATTATGGAATATTGAAGACCAAATTATTCATTTAAAAAAAATTAATTTGTCTAACTATGGATGTAATTTTTTTTCATAGATTTGATCTATAGAATTTGATTATATAGTAGAAGAATATTTATCATGTCTTTCCTATAATTGATATTATATCTCATCTATTAATCGAAAAAAAAAAAAAAAAAAGATATGCTTCAAACGTCATTCACTGGTTAGAATAATCGTAGAATCATCCTTTGTCTTTGGATAATAAGTATAATATCCATGTTTCAATCTCGAAAATTATTCTCGACATCAACAATTAAATCTAGACATGTATAACGATTACTAGCTATGCATTTAGTATCCAAATACTAAGATGATAGTTGTTAAATCAGTGTACAAGATCACGATTCTGGTGGTCCTGTAATTAAGTATCAACTTTAATTTCTTAAAGGAAATTTATTGTATTATCCTAATCCAATGTCAAAGGCATTGTTTACCGTGGAAAATAATTATTTTTGGGCATATTCACGAAAAAGATGTCCATTAAATTATAATATTGTAATTTTAACAGCAGGATAAGAATAAAAGGCAAAACAAAAGTTGAATTGTGCCTAGCATATTATTTTATTGGTCCACTTTTGAAATTCTCAAATCAAAATTATTCTTATGGTCAGTACAATTTGGGCCATCAAAATTATTCTTATCAACCACATTTATTAACATACCATGTATGTCACATGCACTACTTAATGTAATGTACAAAAAATTCACATTTAAGAACCGAAAGGCCCATATATTGAAGCTCAAAACCTAAATGTCAATGATAATAAATTTAAGTATTCCATTATACAAAGGTTGGGACTTCCTATGCTTAGTGGAAGTCCCATATCCAAGTAATATCACCCTCAAATAGTGAATATATCGTAATTGTTATTTTTATTTGATGCATTACATTATATAACTACATTATTTAAAATAATAATAATATACAGTTGTACACACCACGATCCTTTTACAAATATTGAACCCTATTCATCAAAAATAAAATAAACGATACATCATAATTTCTTTATTATAAACATATCAACATTTTCTCTCAGTATCCTTTATGCATCTGCATAAATTGAATCTATTTATGCCAGAATTTAGGAGGAGATAAAAAGAGAAAGAGGAGAGATAAGAAGAATAGTTTTTTCTTCTTTTTACATTTTTACTGAAATAAAGAAACAAATAAATGAAAAGAGGAAAAAAAAAACAACAAAAATGAAGAAACGAGAAAAAATTATATGTTTTATGTATTAACTTTTGATTATGACTATTGAGTGGGATTGCACAAGAGGGTAAGGAATTCTTGTAGTAAAAAATAAAAAAGAATTGTGAGAAAATCAGGGAAAAAAGTGAAATCATTTCTTTCTAAGATTTAAAGCCCTTAAATCCATTAATTTCCAATACTTCACTAAAAAAATTATATTTTTTTCCTGTAAATTTCAGAGTTAGAACAGATTCAGGACTTTCTATTTATATTACTTGCGGTGTTTATTAATGAAAGATAGAAAAATAATATATAAGTGGATAATTAAGTGATTATTTAAGTCAATTTACTTGCAGCTGTTTTAATACATAAGAAAAATTTATAAAATGTATTGTAACAAATAATCGAGTAATTATATTCACACGACAATTTTTTAAATTGTTGTACTTTATAAAAATTGTAATGTGAATATAATTACTCCAAACAATAATCTTGATGGCAAAAATACATTAAATGGGGCTTAACATGAAATTAATTTCTTGAACACTTTTATCCTCACTATTTTAGTAGTTATGACAACA